GAATTGGCCTAAACTGCTAGTGTGTTGCTGTGTGAGTTTAAAGAGCTGCCGTGTTCCCACCCCAGAGCTGGCAGTATTTCAGTGGTGGTGGAAGTGATCAGAATGTATTTTCTATCTCACTTTAAATATGTAAAGTGCTTTGGCATTAAAGGTTCTTTATAAATGTCATATTTATTATTTAAATTGTTGGGTGGGAGGTGACTTCAGTGCGGTTACCTGTTATAACATCCTGATACTGAAGATTGAGTATCCCATATTCCTGTCCCTGCTAGTCCTAGCATTACAGCTCAAGAAGATGTCATATCACATACTTCTTCCTTTCTCCCCCCTCTCAAGCCTTGGAAGAGTTGACTTCTTTAAGGGCTGAACATTTTTTCCATGAGCTTCATAGGATGGAGGAGGAATCAGTTTGGTTCATATCAGAGAATTTTGCTAATAATATACAAAAAATAATGTTACAAAGTTTTATGGCCAAAACCTCAGTGTGATTGAGAGGGGAAAGCAAAGAAAAGGATGAAACCCAGCAATATGATTCCACTGAATACTAAATCTGGATGAATGGTATACTTTGGTAAAAGGGGTGAGCGCTACAGTGCATGACAATCCTTATCTTGTATCCTTCCATCCCTGTCACCAATATAAAAAGTTGCAAATATTTAAAAACATTTAATCAACATATATCACTTCTCTAAAAGGAAAACTTGTTGCACCACTCACCAGTATCAAGTATCTGTTGTTCTCCTTATATGGCATCTCTATTACTGGAGGTTTGCAACCGTGGTAGCCTGTTCTGTATGATCCTCTGTTACTCTTTTGTGGATGAATAGTCCTTTTGATCCATCCAGGATACCACATTGTCCATCAAAGATCGTTTTCTACCTTGTGTTGTTCTGCCATCAACTTTCCCTTCCAGTGCCAATCAACATGTGTTGCCCACTGAAACTCTTAAAAAGTGCTCTGCAAATTGAATCGTTCCTTCTTTTCATAAGATCTCTAACTAGTGTTGGCCTATTACTAGTATTGTCAATATTAGTATTATCACGGCTAATGATAGTTTAAAGCAATGTAATCAATACAATAAATTAGAACAAAAGATGTGTAACACCGACAGACCCCGTCATTGGTGTGTGGAGTCGAACCTGGGACCTCTGGAGCTAAATGCATGAGCCTCTACTGTATGAGCTAAAAGCCATATGGACCTTAGCTAAGG